TCATCGAGCAGGCATTGGAAGGAATCGTCCTCCTTATTAGTCCTTCTAGTACGGAGTCTTAAGAGCACACACTAATGTTGAAGTTTAACAGCCAACGAGCAGACCAGCAGCTAAGTCGATTGAGACTCTCTTGAAGTACTTTCCTATCAGCATCAGACCTGATGGCTCTCCAGGTCTCCAGGTTTGCTCTCTTGGCAAACATGATGGCACTGCAACCCAGGTCGTTGACACAGTCGCTGATATAGATAAGGAAGAGCGGTGGCCCTAAGACAGAGCCTTGGGGGACGCCACTCAGAATAGATGTAGGGGTTGACTTCGAGTCATAGGTGCACATAGTTTGCGATCGCTCTGTGAGAAAATCAGTGATCCATGCCGGCAGGTTTCCTCTTATTCCAATTTCCGACAATTTATAAATTACACGTTTATGTGGGACGCTGTCGAATGCCTTCTTAAAGTTCTAATTCAAATGAAAAACGAAATATATGTGCTAGGGGCTTTGAGAGCTCGCTTGCCAATTCTTTCAAGAACTTGGCTTGTATATTGTCTGGGGCGGATGACTTTGCTTCTTTGAGGCCACGCAGCTGCCTCTCAACTACAGATGTTGGAAATAGTAGAGAATGAAGTGCCGGCCCTCTAACTACAGATGCTGGGAATAATAGAGATTGAAGTGCCGGACCGGCACTGTTGACATTATCAAAATGAGGATCGGTTTTCCTAGTGAATACCGAGGCAAAGAACCAGCTACAGTACTCGGCTTTCTCTTCATTCTCAAGGACTTTTCGGTATTAGAGTAGAACTGAAACAAATTCTTAATTTGGACTGCGTGAAATGAGGGCGACAGGTTTGTCTTAAAATTAATCAAGTTTTCAGTTCAAAAAGACCCTTTTGAAGTGTAAGATGGGGCCTTCTTTGTTTCACATTTAACCTGAAAATCCTCCCTTTACAGGAGGGCACCCCATGTCGCTTGAAGGGAGCTTAATTCTGTGAAATGATCCCATCCATCAATGCTCTTAAAGGTCTCCAACTGCGATCTCTGTGATCCGCCTATTATTTACTTGATCTCGTTACGTTCAAGCTTTTCGACAATTGAATTGAACCAGCGCGATTTAAATTCTTGAGCAACAAGGAGATATATTTCAATTAAGTTTTACACTGGAAGAAATTGTCTTCAGACAATAATTGGATCAAAAAGCTCATTGTTGTCTACGATCCTTCGATAACCTCACTTTTCGACCAGGACATTTCTCCAAATCCTGCTGGAAAACTTGGTTTGACCTACACGGCCTATCAGGCCAAATCAGTCTCGACAGGGCTCCTAAGAAGTGTCTGCAGAAAGGCTGAGTCTTTCATTCATATACTACATGTGTATAAGTTCCACATAACAACAGATTAGACTATCTCGTTTGTTACTACCTGTATAATTACTGCATATTCACAGATTAAACTGTCTCGGTTATTGCCACTTGCTCTAATAAATCCCGAAATAGTTTATACTAGAATTGACAATATCTAGTTCGACAGTATAACCCACAGCTTGGATATTAGAATAGAAGACAAACACTACGGAAGTATAAGCCACCCTATATTTTTGTTGTTATCTCTGCTCTTTTAAACACGAAATAGTTTGTACTAGTATAGACAGTATCTACTTCAACATCATGACTTATTGGTTGGATATTAGAATAGAAGACGCATACTAAATAATCATAGGCCATCTATCTTAACTTTGCTCAATAATTTCTGCCACCTGAAATTTTCGATCATAAAATCTTTTTTAAACATTTCACAAAGCTATAAGCTAGTGATGGGTATCCAACTAGGCTAAACGTCGAACGTAAGCAAAAAGGCTGGCAATCTGGGATTCGGACCTAGTCTTTTGGAGCAATGAGCCACTGAGTTATCCAGTGCACCATGCTTCGTCGATGCGTTAGGTCAAAATTTTGTTATCGATGGACAGTTTGTTGTTCTTTCACCTCTCACTAAGCGGACAAGAAGCTTAGCAACTCTGAAGTGTGTTAGGTACGCAGATGACGCTTGTTTTGCACATTCAACTCTCCTGCACACGGAACTCTCCTGCACATGGAAACTGAGATAAATAACATTTAGCTATTACTCAGTTCAGGGATCTATCCGCCGAAGTGGCAAGACAAAGCCCAACCGAAGAAAAATAAGAAAGTTTCCAAGTGCCACAAGCAAGATGCTTCAGCAACAGATATCGGTATTGAACTTGGAGAAGAATCAAATGTCACTAAATGTTCTACGGGGCCGGGGCCCAAGCCTGGTTTATTGAACGAGCAGGCTGACATACAATGCATTCCACTAGCGAGCGGCGTTAGGAGGACTCAAAGATGCAGTTATTTAATCAGCTCAGGTGTCTCTCCGCCGAAAGAGCAAGACACAGGTAAACCGAAGAATAATAAGAAGGTGTCGAAGCGCCAAAAACGGGATGCTTCAGCAAGAGATCTCAACATTGAACTCGAAGAAGCATCAAATTTTAGCCAAAAGCCTTCGGAGCCGGGGCTCGAACTTGGTCTATTAAAAGAAATGGCTGACGTACAACTCAGTACACTAACAAACAACGTGGGAGGGACTCGAAGTGGCAGTTAATTAAGCTAAGCCATAAGCCAAGTACACGTTTCTGATAAGCAAGATCCATCAGCAACACGCCAGACATTGGAGACAGCACGTGAAGGTGGGTGTTCCAACGAAATGGAATTAAAAAACCTCAGACCGTGCATAAGCCATCGTTAAACCACGACAGGCAAAGCACGATACAACGGTCACATCGAGGCCCTCTGTGGAAAAAGAGGCTAGTACTGTACCTATGGACTCAGGTCGCCGAAAGAATCGTCATAATGTCTGCATGACAACTATAAATCAGAAAGTGGGCGACCATGTCGTAGGCACGAAAAATGCCACCAAGAGAGGAGCAAGCCTCATAATACAGAAATTGCCTGAATCAACCGCAATCAATCCCATGGACTGGCACTCCGCAGACCTTTAAATAAATTTTTATATTTTATATTTTATATTTTTATATTTTAGGCCCGGAGGGCCTCGTCATTGCAAACTTAGT